CTTCAAAATTTTAAGATTTTGCGTCTGAAAAATTCCCACTCATCTCATAAGATGCTGAAATGACCTATAGGAGAGATAAAACACATACAAGTAGGTAAGAAATGCTGTAAGCTACTGTAGATACATGTTTCCTGCCCAAAACCTTGTTACCAGAAAGGAAAGCAGTGTTATGAATTGGTCAGGGTTGCGGTTCCATGTATAGTGTGACCCAACCCAATTTTTGACACCATTTTCTTAACTCCTCCCCCACAACTCCTGCACTACAATGGTTGGATGATCTGAGTCTAAAGCAAGGGTTCATCAAAGGCTTCTTACTGACCTAGAAGCAACACAAAAAGCTGCTGTAGGAGCTTACCTAGCAGAGCAGAAGATGGCTCAGAAAGAAGGGAGGCAGCCAGCTGGGCTTCAAGTCATCTCAAACCAATTTGGGATCAACTATAGAACACTTGGAAAACATGTAAAAGGAGGAAAAACTAAGCAAGAGTGGGCAGATGGAATCTCCAACCTTAACCATACTGAAGCACTCACCCTCATTGATTTTACAATTGGCATGGCTGACCGAGGCTTCCCTCTCTCACACAACTCACTGGCTCACTACGCACTTGACATTAAGTGGATCCGAGACCCAGAAGCAAAGAAGTTTGGATCTAGCTGGTCCCAAAAATTCCTTGCTAAATATGGCCAACACATCTCCACTAAGTGGAGCACTTCCCTTGACACCATGCACGCATCTGCAGTGAACCCAACTAATGTCAAGCTCTGGTTTGACATGGTCAAGAAAGTCCGTGACACATACCAATTCCATCCATGCAACATCTACAATTTTGATGAGTCCGGATTCCCAATTGGAAAGGGGTCAAAGCAGCGTGTTATAACTCGGCCTGGAACAAAAATTCAGCATGCAGTTGAAGACGGGAACCGTGAAAATGTCACAGTGATGTGTGCCATTTGTGCTGATGGGTCCGTGCTTCCACCTGTTGTAATCTTCAAAGGTCAATATTTCCTCAAAAAATGGCGCCAGGACAACCCAATTAGTGCTGCGTGAGTACTCATATAGGCCCAATTAACTCTTCACTAATCCCTAAACAGCATATGTAAATCAGCAAAGGGATGGACAAATGGGGAAATTGGAGCTGATTGGATCAAACTCTTCGACAGGCAAACTCAGGACAAACTATGCAATCGAACACAAAATTGTTATTCTTTGCTTCCCAGCTCACACCACACATGTCTTGCAGGGGCTTGATGTTGTCATATTCTCGGTTCTGAAGCGTGCATGGTCAAAGCACCTCCAGAAATGGAAGGACATCCATTATGGATGGATTGGGAAAGAAAATTTCCTAGAAGTCTATGGTGCAGCACACATCGAAGCATTCACACACAAAAACATACTTGCCTCCTTTGCAGCCACTGGGATTGAGCCATTCAATCCTGAAGCTGTCTCCACATGCCAGATGCAGCCAAGCATGGAATTCTCCACTCAAGCCACCTTCCCAATGACATTGCCAACACCGGTTAAATGCGTAGCAGCAATCATGTGTGAAGCAGTTTTGCTCAACTCCAACCCCCAACACACACCAGTCCCTAATAGCACACCTGTTGCTCAGCAGGTAACTAGGGATGGGAATCAACAATGCAATACTCACAATACTCAAGCCAATGGGCACCCTGGCACACCGATCACCAGACTTGCAGGCCAGATGCACAGCAGTCTAGATTCATCCTCAGCACAGTTTCTTGTCAGTGAAACACCTATCCAATCTACCACCAACCCCATACCTGTTGTTTTCCAGACACCACCTTCACAGCATCATGGATAACTCATGCAACACCAAAAGCTTGCCATGCACTTGATCCTCATAACCTTCTTGAGGAGGTCCACTACCTACGAAACACATTATCTGACTGTCAAGAAAATAATTCAGACCTCACAGAAAGGCTTATCATTGCTTATACACAGCTTGTCCTAGGGTCGTGATACAATGAACGGTTGCATCACCAGCTAGCAGCCAAGGAAAACAAAAAAAAGGGGCCCAACCACAAGTTACTGATGGATGGATTGCCCCAAATCATCACCGACACTCAGTTCTGAGAGATTGTTGCCAAGAATGAAGCAATCTGGGTGGCAGCACAGCGAGAGAAAGCAGTGTGGGTGCATGCACAGAAACATGGTGCAGCCTGGAAAATGGTTGAAGAAAGAGCTTGGAAGTGTGCAAAGGAGGCACACCAAGAGGCACTGAGGGACTGGGAGAGGGGTATAGTGAGGTTGAAGGAAGAGAAGGTCCCAAGGAAAGCATGGCCAGCAAAACCCAAGTGTGTGCGCAAGCAGGTGGTGTTAGCCACAATAAAACTCTCAGACTTTGTGGAGAACTTTGACAATGATGAGGGTGAGTCCTTTGACTTGGGTTTGGATGGCCCAGACAGTGAGGAGGGGGAGGATGGAGATGAGGGGTGATAAGCCATTTCCCACAGCTGTGAACATCAAAGGTTGCCGCACTAAATGCCCCCTCCAGCAAAATTGTGATTACATCTCAACCGCTCCACAACTTTCGCCCAAAAGTGGACTGCAAGGAGTGAAGATAGCAGTCTTTACTATGTTGATTTTTATTTGTGATGTTTATGTTCATAAATGTGTTTAAACCTCAGTGAATGAAAAGTGTGACCTGTTAGAACAGGTGGATTTGAACAACTCCAGAGTGGAATTGGAGACTTAGCGTGGAAGGACCTCAGCCTCAGTGACTCAGGTGGAGCGCTGTGCCATTGCTGGTTGTCCTGGGGGTCCCTAATTTCGGATCTAGCAGAGGGAAAGTCTCTTGGGGGGAATTCAGGTCGATTTCGGACTGAGGTTACAAGTTACTATGTACATTGTATATAAGGAGGGGTCCGGAATCAAAAGGAGCAAGGGTACTCCGAAAGGAGACAAAGGGAGCTGAAAGGAGGGGCAACAACAAGGGTCAAGGGTTTGACTCAATGGTGTTTCTCAAAGGAGGAATGAAGGGCCAAGGCCCAAGGAGGAAGGAAGGAGGATGGGAGTGGGGAATGACCAGCTGACTGAATAGAAGGAAGCAGCAGCCCAAATAGGAATGAGGGAGAATAGCGGAATTGAATAGGACAATGCAATAGTTGCAAGGTCTGAGGTAAGTCCGGAAAGTCCGAACTCGGAAGTTAAACTCTGTAATATTGGCAAACGTAAGTAAATGGAATGAGCTAACCAATACAATGGGTATAAGCAGAGGTGGGGTCAAAGTCCGAGGTCGGAGCTAAGACCGGAGGTTCCAGAGATGGAGATGCGAATGGGATTCCGGAGTGGAGGTCCGGAGTCGGGAGCATAGGTGTTGCATACTCGTCTGGAAGGTGTTGAGGTTGAGGTCGGACCCAGGATGTTCCAGAGTCGGACCAAAGGTGGTGTCAGAGCCGGAGGTGGAATAACCTCTTGGGAGTTGGCAAGGAGAAGGGAAGTAGGGCTCCAGAGTTGGTTTTGGAGTTCCAGGAGCCTGGAGTGGAGGTTGGGATTGTGTGAGGCCCCGGCCCATGTCTATATTCCGCCCACAACATCAGTTGATGTTGTGTTGTGTAATAATTATGTCGCGACGCTAATTTAGCATTGCGGAAGCTTCTCTATTTATTTGTGCTGAGAATGTATAAGATTGTATATAAACCCTCGGGGTCGCTGTAAAAGGCGGATTAGCCTTTACTTCTACCCCGTCAATATACAGCCAAATCAAGCGTATACTTAGACGGACTACTGAGGCCTGAGGCGAACGGGGGAACGGAACGTTACCGTCCCCAAACTAGTAAGATAAGACTCCTCAATCCTCAGGCTGTCGATAACGTAGACTGTATGGAGCTAGTATTCGACAGGGGGGGAGGAGAAGAGCAAAGCCCCTTTCCCCGACCCTGGACACTCTATATATATACAGTTGTTTATTACGAAGAATATTAAAGAATAAATAAATGAAATGCGCGCAAAGCGCGCATCACCCCATCCCTGTCCATCCCTTACACCCTCCTTCCATTCCAATTATCCCAATTCCACTTCCTCTCTCCCCTCTCTCCCTCCTGCTACCTTCAGTGCGGCCACCTTTCCGCTGCACTTCAGCACCTCTGGGTCTGCTGTGCCCTGCTGTCTGCAGTGCAGACCCACCTCAGCCCTGTGTCTCTGGGGCGCCACTGCTGCCTCCCCCAAAGCCTTTGGGGCCCTTGCAACCACCTGGAGAGCCACCTCCCTGCTGGATTCCAGGAGTCTGGGGGGCTGAGGGCCCGATTATTTTATTTTCTTATAATCTTCTATGTTTTTATGTTTTATTTCGTAATTTAAACCTCATGCCAAGCTTTCCCACTGGGTTTTGGTGCTGGCTGAGGGACTTTTTCTATATTGTGAGACTTCTTGCAACCTTTCATTTTCTTTCTTTTCTTTCATTTTGGGGACTGCTGCACAGAATCCCATAAGAGTCTGGGGGGCGATGTTACGGAAATGGGAATTTCCCATTTTAGACTCTTATGGGCTCGGTGCACAGCCATATCACATGATTTGTAAAATAATTAGCTCTAGGGAATCAATAATCAACAAAAACCCGCTGCCACACTACCTGTTCAACAACATGTTAAACCATCTGTGAAACAACCTGTAAACCCCTATGTCCAACCCCCTTCCCTATTCCTGCGCCAGAACAGACGAAAATGGGTGCTTCCAGCCCCATTTTTGTAACAGTGGATGGGCCAGTGGCACTGGGGCACATTGACAGACATTGTGGATATTGCTGGGTCATGACATCCACATAGAATATATAGAGAGCACTTGGGTGCTCTATGACAGAGAGGAGCACTGGATTATAGAAGCACATGACATCAAGCTTAGCATGTCGGAAAATCCCGTATATCGTTTAAACACCTGGGAAACATTTCATGGCGTTTATTTACAACAACTACCCAACAGCTGATGAGAATACATTGGTCAGATGTGGTGGTACTTTATGTGTTATATGAGACAGATTTTTGACGATTTTGATGCTGTAGGAAGCATTTATGACACATTTATTAAGTTATTAAAAACATATTCAGAGCGTTTGAGGGGTATAAAAATGCATTCAATAATATCAAAAAACGCCATAAACAATTTATCACAATGTTTAGATGCCAAAATTCACGTTTAAAAGTCAAATTTTGGCGTTTTAAATGGCAAGTCTCGTGCTTTTGATTGATCTCGCGATTTTCCGACACAAAACCGGAAATCGCGAATGTGTCTGGGTAGAAATGGATGATGAGGAAGGGAAAATGGAGAGTTGGGGAGTAGGAGATGGACCTAAGGGTGTTGCAGAACATCAGAATGGTGATTTAGGGGGGGAGAAAGGTGCAAAGATCCAAAAGAATGAGACAAGTGCATCGAAAATCACCAAATCAACCAAAACTCACCCATCCAACCACCAAAATTCATCAAAACTGATGCAAAGGGCTCACACGACACAGCCCATCATCCTCAGATCCATTCCCCATCAAAAAAACCATTCAAATGATAGTGAATCGTCCATGAGTCCGGATGACAGTTCCAAAATGGAAGTGGGCAAAAACTTCAGCCCAAGAAACCGACCAAATCAATCAAAAATGACACAAAAAGCTGGTGTGAACCAGCCTATGACCATCAGGTCCAACCACCATCGATCAAACTGCAAAATTCCATCGAAATTGTCCAACAACTTCGATTGAAATTTCAAAGCGGACTCAAGTGCTGACAGTGCATCAGACCCACCAGAGGTGCTGAAACCGAGACTAAGGGCGCACAAAGTGGCCTGACACCATAAATCTCGCACCCTGCCGATCCAACCACCGGAGACCCAGAAAACCGTCCAGTGAATTGGATGTGGACACTGGAACGAAGTCAAACCTGAAGCACCCAAAAGTCGTGGGTGCAAGTGAGGAGAGCGATTCAGCGGATGATACAAGCGGCAGATGGACCTCTATTCACATTCTCAACAACAGAAGACAGCGACGAAACCACTTTGCTCACTGCACGAGGCCACGAGCAAAAGGACGTCTCAGATTGGATGCAAGCGATTAACGGAGATGGAAATGGGGATGCAGGGAAACCAAGGGCTAGTAGGGATAGAGACAACGGTCAGAGAGATAACGCTTCAAGGAGGGAATCGAAAGCCGATGAAGATGCAACACCCCTAAACCGGACCCTCAGAACCACCACGACCTCTCTCCCAGAGCCCAAATTTTGAGGGCCAAATTAGAGAATCTCGGATCGGACCTCTGTCGGTGTATGCCTGGATCCTGCCTACTCCTGCCTGCTTGAAACGGAGTTTGACGACACTGACGCAAGTTTGGTATTTCACATTGCCTACACTGCCTGATTTTGGCGCGACCAGGGAAGTCACGAGACCCATTCGAATTTTTGCTCCAGTCGCTCCCATATTTTCGGTAGTCCTTTACGTCCAAGTAGACACAGCTCCTTTCTTAAACAGACTCGCCAACAATCTATGTCTCTCACGCTTACTCTCAATTGTTGGGTATTTGGCGATGATGCTAGCCAAGTGTTCCCGGTGGAAATTTCGAATACAAAGTCTGTTGGTGCCCTCAGGAAAGCCATCCGGGGGGAGAAGCCGGTCGCTCTCCAACACATTGACGCAGACACCCTCACACTTTGGAAGGTTGCCATCCCACTCGAAGTCTTCGCGAAGCAGAAGGTTGGACTCGAAGACGCACAAGTACTACTCTCGCCCTTTAAGAGATTGTCCAGCTTTTTCTCGGATCAACCTGATGATCTAAACCTACACGTCGTTGTTCAGCTCCCGACTGTTGGTGAGTCATGATTGTACAGAGCCTTCTCTGTCTGTGACCCATTTTCTATTTTTAGTGCCACTCCCTATTCATATCCTCGAACTATACTGTCTCATTCGTGATGAAGATGCCAGCCACATCTTTCTGGTCAAAATTGAGATTACAGAGTCTGTTTCCGCCCTCAGGAAAGCCATCCGGGGGGAGAGGCCGGTCGCTCTCCAACACGTTGATGCAGACGCCCTCACACTCTGGATGGTTTCCATTCCATTCAGCGGCAGTTTCGCGGAGAATGTGAAGAACGCTGAACTTAGAGATGAGAAAGCCCTATCACCTGTGCAGAAATTATCCGACATTTTCTTGGGTCCACCTCAGGGTGACCAACTGCACATCATTGTTAAGGCTCCTCCACGTATAAGTGAGTGCAAATGATTGACTGATTGTTGTGTTTACCCCTTACCTGTTCGAATGGCGTTACTCGTACGGTTGCCCCATTCGGTAGTCAACGCTCAAACAGATACAGGTACGCAGTGCACTTATTATTTGTTTACACATTCCATTGTTGGTTTTTTCGTGTGTTCCGCCAACAGTCCTCCTCATCACCGAAGAAGATTCACCCTACAATGACCTGGCTATTATTCACAAATATCTGTGGGGAAATCAGGATCATTTGTCTGAGATCATCTCTCTCACCTCGAGCCAAGTACCCAGCCTTGGAGTCAATGACGAAATTCAAGTATCTGGGACGGGGGACGTCGCGATGGAGGATGTTACGATGGACACTCAGGCAGTGTTTTATGACCTAATGAAGATTCCGGCGATGCCACGGATGACATCCCAGGTGCTCACAGAGAGGTTCTATGTGCGGGACGAATACAAGATACTCGACGAATTCGTGGAGGAGCAGAGAGAATTGGCTGTCGCTGATCTCCGTTCCCGCAAACCAATGTTGCTTGTTGGACAACCTGGAATAGGTCCGTGGGTCGTGCAGGATTGTCATTGCACAATGCGACTAATCACACTCCTAAAGGCAAGACTGTCTATTTGACGTACTGTCTCCTGAATCGGCTAGCACAAGGAAAGCCCACCTTGTTTTCGAAGTCGCATTTGTTGCGTTTCGCCTTTCTCCGCTCTGGTGTTTACGTGGTACCAGGCAATTCCTTCGGTTTTTGGAACCATCCCGAGGTCCGCGCAGCTGATGGAGCAGATTTGCATGGCCTTGTTCTCTTCGACTTCACCCCGGGTGAGAAGGTCGAAAATCTGCTGTGGCGATGGAGAACCTTGGTAGCATCGTCGCCCAGGCCGCAAGTGCTGTATCCTTGGATAAAGGAATACCGTGTGATTAAGTTCTACATGAGAACATGGAGTTGGCAGGAGGTGTATGTGTGTCGGTGAGTCCTCAGTCGCGTAGATGGAGGCCTCGCAGTACTGATCTCTTCCAGCCATTATGCCATGGAGCAGAGGCCCAACGATGATGCTTGGCGTACTGCATTTATGAAGTATGGGGGCTCGGCAAGGTCTCTATTCGATCGTACGCAACGAGCGCTAGATGTTGACCTCACCTCAGCCATTATGGAATGCAACCCGAAGGACCTCTTCAACCAAGCGGTGAACCATGAACCCCAGAAGTACGGCCATCGTCTCGTGGAAATAAATCCTCTTCAGGACGCCCATGGCGTTGTCCTGGACCGATCGTGCCCACGTACACGGGTTATTTCTTTCTTCATCTTCACTGAGCTGATGATGAAGAAGGGAACGGAATTGGTCAATACTTCGGCCACTTACTTTTACACTTGTATGAACCATCCTTCCACGACTTCCACAGCCGGTCTCATCTTTGAGGCTCTTGGACATGTTTATCTCGTCAACAGAGCTAAAGCCGCTTTTGCTGTACGAGCGCTCAACACCGGTCGCCAACAAGACTTGCATCTAGAACACATCGACCGTGAGAATGTGCACGTATTCCCCGGACTGGACCCACCATTTGATGAGCCTGGGCACCGAGGGGCCCGTTGTCCAGATGCAACCAAGTACTACCGACCACTTGCCGGCAACGTCTCTGGCATTGATTCATTCGCTTTTGAAATGGATAGGAGGAATGCCATCACCGGAATTGTCATGTTCCAGTATACAGTTGCTTCGCAACACTCTGTCAAACCCAAGTTCATCAACAAGCTTTGGGATGTGCTGACGAAACAGCACAACCGGAAATGGAAGTGGAAGCTCGTATTCGTCATCCCGAAGAGAAACCCTGGTTTTCAGCAAAGTATGCCCACCAAGAACTTGAAACCACAGGTGGATCAATTTGTGCTGAGAGTTGATTTGGAGGATGTGTGGGTTGCCATGTGCAAGTCTCTGGAGAAAGCTGGTCGCTCCCATGAACCTTAGCCTTCCCACTCCTGGACTCTTTCCTATGTCCTTCCCACTTTCTTGTACTGAAATTGTGTAATACTGTTCATTCACTGTGTCATCATGCCGTTGCTTTTGCAATCCATGTTTGATAAAACCCAGCATGAGGAATTATCTTTTTTCCAGTTCAACGGGATTCCTGAATCTGCAGAACTGTAGAATTGGGGTATTCCCGAGATTCAAGTTCGAAGTGTCATTTGTCCCGCTGGCATCTGAAGTGATCAGATGTGTTGTCAGTAACAGGTCGGCAGCGCTGGGTTTCTAGTAAGCAATATGATGATTTGAAAAGGCCACGCAACCGCTGGCTGAGATGGCAACCACCCGTGTTGGCTGTATAGTGTATGAGTCCCTAGTCGGTGGAAGCAACGAAGGATGATGATGATAAATCTATCTTAATACCCCGCGGCCTCGTGATGACGTGGCAGTGCGGCTTACACCGTGGCGTACATGAGGGGACTTTCTATACATAGTGTGTGGGTAGTCTGGGTGGTATCATCAGGTGATAGTGATCCTCGGGGTTTGTGGTATCTGTGGGTGTTGTCATGTTGTTGATAATAGAGATAAAAAGAAAATAAAGAAAGAAAATTTTTGATGCTCTCATCCCCTCATCCGTCTGGTCACCCTGCCCACCTCAGTACCTCGATTGCCTCTTCCCTTCATCCATCTCCATTCTCCAGCTGTGCCGTGTTTCCTTACTGAGTCTGTTGTGCTTCTTTGAACTCAGACACCATTTGCACCTCCACTCTGAGATCCCATCATGGTCCCAACCTAGGACTTTAACTCAGCCTAAGTCCATTGCATTGGTGACCTCATTTCACATAAAAGCCATTGCCAATATTCCTCAGACTTTCAACCCCATCTCTGTAAGCTCTGGTACCTCCAAGCTTCATGGACCATCTTCAGCACCTTCACTGTTTGTACTCTATACTTTGCACTTCTCCCTCACCCTTATTTGGACTACTGCTTCTTTCCATTTAGCCAGCTAGTCATCCACCCCACTTCCCCTCATCCTCCTGCCCCTCTGGGCCCTCGCCCTCCTTACCTCCTTTTGGATGCACCATAGAGTCTAACCCTTGACCCTTGGTGCAGTTCCCCATCTGTATTCCCCTTTGTCTCTGTTTGGACACCTTTGTTCCATTTTGGACCCCCTTTGTTTTCTTGTGCTTCCATCTCTCCATTATAGATAGATGCTTGTACATACTTGCTAGCTCCTCAGTCAGTAAACAACCTGAGCAACCTAAGCACTTGAGCAACCTAGTCTACTCAACTCAAGTATCTATGCCCCCTAGAGACTTTACCCTTGATATGCCTGAAATTAAGGACCAGCAGGACAAACAGCGAGGGCACAGCACTCCCCTTGAGTCACTGAGGCTGTCATATTGTCAGGGCACACCCGCCTGACCTGGCCCCACCTCGCCTGGTGCCCCACCATCCACTCCTCCCAACCTCCCCCCTCTTCCCCTTTTACTCTTCTCTTTCTTCTTTCCTTTCTTTTCTCTTTTCTTTCTTCTTTCCTCTTTATTCTTTTCTTATCACATGGAGGACTTCCTTTGTATCAATGTACCATTGACCCGGCTGCAGTGTAACTGTCAGGGGACGACTCCTGGGTCCCCATGACCCTCCCCTATGGTCCACAGCCTGTGGTGTAACCAGCCCTGTCCAGGGCACAACTCTACTGTGGGTAAGGAGATGAATAGATAAACAGTAGGTAAGGTACACTTGCCTACTGTGGGTAAGGAGATGAGAAGGAAGCTAACTTCTCATCTTCCCACAGTGGCCACCATATCAGGAAAACTTCCAGGGATACCCGGAAGTCACATGAAGGCAGGATCCGGGGCCGGACCATGCGGCACACGGAGCATGCGGTGTGGGAATGCGCGCGGGAAGTGTAGCGGGTCCGGGCTAGTCAGGGTGTGTGCCCTGACAGTAATGCGCCCAGACCCGGACACACTGGATGACCTTCTGCATACCGGACGCTCCTAGGATGTCAGAAACTGTGTTCGAGGTGATCGTGGGAAGCGGAGCGGAGTGTGGCGGCGTGAGTGGTCACTTAGCTAATGAACTACTCCGTTGCAAGGCGTCGTGGGGTTGGGACTTCGGCTTCAATGACTTGGCCAGAGCGTTGCGCCACGCGTTCTAGGCTGTCCCGTATTTCACGTTAGCGGGGAAGACCTTGTGGCGACGTTGACTCAAGCGAGGATGTAGTTGAGAGGCGAACTTAGGATGCAAGTACTTGGGGGGGGGAATTCTAGTCGATATTCAAACTGAGGTACATCGACAGTAAACTACAAGTATAAATAAGAAAGGAGAACAGAGAAGGGACCGGTCGGTCCGGTGTGGGACGGGAGCGGGATGGTAAGTACGACAGAACTAAAAGGGCGATGCGGACCAGGGTAATGGAACAGTGTCAGGGACTCGTCCGGGGTCGAGGGGGTCCGGGTATAGCGTCCAGGACCGAGAGCCTGGCGGGGGGCGGATCGGGCGTGCGTACTGACAGGCCCGATGTGGGACAGCGGTCCCTGGCCACTTAGACTGAAGTGGAAAGTTGTTATTATTATTAAAGGAGAAATATTGTACTACTTACCTGAAGTGGAAAGTTGAGAAGAAGGCTACTTCTTCGGTTCCCACTTCAGGTTCGTTTATATACATGCGGCTTGGATCACATGACGGGTGCCACGTCACCCTCGCACACAGCCGTAACCACCCGGGTGTCTCCGTGGGAGATCCCGAGGGTATCCGGTGCAGGCGCGCGTGCTGGGCACAGCGGGAAGTCGCCCGAGGTGCCCGGGCCGGGTACATGGTGGGCGCGCTGCAGATGGGTCAGTTGTACATTGATACAGAGAAAGTCGTCCGTGTAGAATAAAGAGAGAATAAAGGAGAAGTAAGATAAGGAGAAACTAAGGAGGGGAGGATGAGGGGGAAGAAGGGAAAGGGGGAGGAGGTAAGGAGGGGTGGACCGGCGGGGTACCGGGTCAGGTTGGGCCAGGTGGAGCCGGGTCAGGCGGGTGTGCCCTGACAAACAGAAGAACAGAATGGAACAGAGGATGGCGAAGTTGGGAGGCAGAATGGATAGGCCGACAATATAGGTGCGCAGATCAGAATGTCAATATATGTATAAATCAGATATCAATAAAGGAATGTCAATAAGGAGCGGATCACGGCGACCATAACAACCGCTAGTTAGTTAAGCGAATGAATAGAGTAAAACAGTATCAGCCGAATGGCTGAGGAACCCAAGTGGTGGCAGGAGAACGAAGGAGGCGCTGCTACGGGGCCGTAGAATGGGAACCACTATCGGCGCCGCTAAGTGATGGGCAATGGCGAGATTAACGGGCGCGAGTAACGGCACGAGGGTGGGGGTGCAGAAAGTGGTAGAGGGGTGGGGACTTTGTGGGGCCATGACATAGGACCTCTTATGGAGGTACCCGGACAGATGTGGCTCTGTGCATAGATGATGTGGCGCTTCCCATGTGGCCTCAACCACATGTATATAAACACAGCCTGAGTGGGAACTGAGAAGCAACCTTCTTCTCACATTTCCCACGTTAGGCAAGTAGCTTACATTTCCCTTGTTAATAACAATAACACATTTCCCACTTTAGCCTGAGTGGCCAGGGACCCTTGTCTGCTTTGGGCCCATTGTTACGCGCGCCCACGTCATACCTACCGGACCCTCAGCCCCAGGTGATATACCTGGGCGCTCTTGACCCCGGGTCGGTCCCTGACAGCAGAAGAAGGTTTAAACCCCATTTCCCCCCACCTCCCCCACCATGGTGACACAAGAACAGTATGATGACCTGCTGGCCCGGTTCCAGGAACTACAGGCCACTGTGGTAGCCCAAGCCCAGGGCCAGCCTGCACACGCACCCAGACCACCCAAAGTCGCCCCCCCCACCCCCTTCTTGGGAGTTAGCGAGGACCTCGACCGCTTTAAGGCTGAATGTGGGATCTATCTCTACATTGTAGGAGAAATAATGGTCACACTATGGAAACCCATTATGGAAATATGCCAGATAAATCACAAAACCTCATATGACAAGTAGATATGAGAAAATAGAAGGACCTGAATTTTAATGAATTTTTACGAATTTTTACGAATTATTATGACTATACACAATAAATCGAAAAAAGGAAAATTAGCAAAAATACTTCAAGCTTAGCATCAACGAGACGGAATTCTCAGGGGAATTTATAGCAAATATTAAACAAAGAATTAGGACAATTGACCAAGATTTGACTATAAAAACAATCAGAGAACCTCCACGGAAACTACTTTCCCACATCTGCACACGTAGCCAAGGATGGAACCACGGAACAAGGATTCCTCAGGAACTAATGCAAAATTCAAAGTCGTGTCCATAATAGGAAATGTAGATGTCCCCCAAACGGACCCAATGAAAGTAATTACAGGGGAAACTACCCATAAACACAGAGATATGACTAAAACTCCTGCAAAACAAGGACAACGTCTAAAAAGCAAGCACGAAGACTAACCAGTAACGACCGAGACAAGCTTGATAGCCCATTAGAAAGGAAGGGATCTAATCTTAATCCTCCCAAATTTTCATAATAAAAGGATCATGCATTAATGAGATATCCAATAATGGGAATAGCGACATCAAAAGTCCAAGCTCAGGGAAAAGACGATGTTTGCATAGGATCCATAATTCAAACATACAACAAAATTTACACGGAAATTATGAAAAATGGGGAACTATAGTTATGCAAATTTTCAGCCCAAACGGTCCAGCCGTTGTGAAGTTATACCCATGATGGGAATATAGAAATCCGCATCATGTTTAATGACACATGAGGGTGGCGATGCGAAAGGAACCGGCTGTTGGAACCGAGATCTACACTTCAGCAGATCGCGAAGACCAATTTCCATCCAAATAAGGAAGAGCCCAGTCAAAACAAAGCACAGAAAGTGCAAAACAACCTTAGATCATGAGGGAAAAATCTGAAATAAATCACAGAAGCCCATATGAAAGATATAAACACCTGCGCATATCATAAATCCCGAACAATTAAACGGAAACAGTGCCCGCATACGAATGACTATGGGAATGATGCACATGATTACTGAATGTGTGTGCGAACTTTTGCTAACTCAACGAATACCAGGA